GTCGATTGGGCAGAGTGGACCGGGTGAGATTGTGACTGCCAACAAACAACTGACAGCAATGACACACGCCTCCTGTGTGCCACGGTGCGCGGGTGCATGAGTAGCTGTGCCTGTGTGTGTGTGTGCTTTTTTAGTGGCGTCAAATGTCACAACTGCCAACGCGTACAATTCCTGCTGGCAAATGATATCAAGGATGGTGCCGCCATGCTGCCATTGACATTGCCACAATGCGTGGCAGAGTCGGTCACCTACGTTAAGTGGCCGTATCGCCTGTTTTATGTGTGAGTATATGTATGTGTGTGTGTGTGAGTGTCCTTCGACGACATGACTACTGCTGCTGCAATTGCTATACGTTTTATGGTTTTTTACTGCCAGTGCAGTCTGTATTGTCGTTGTGGTGTTTGTGTTTCATTTTATTGTTTATTTGTGTGTATTTGTAATGTTGTTTTTTCCACTTCTGTGCTACGTCCTTTCATTTCACGCGGTACACATCGCTCGTGTGTGTGTGCTATTGTTGCTGGGCACGGAGTTGACATTGATGATGATTATTGGGCGTAAATAGAAATGCGAAAAAGTCAATGATGAGAGCAGAAGTCAATTGCCCGGAATACAGTGGGTATACCGAAGTAGAGGAGGGCAATGTGGAAATGAGCATGCATTCACAAGTAGACAAGAGCAAGCAATTTAGTGTTCCAAAAGTTTGTGAGCGCCTGTGTGCGGAGAAGTCTAACAAACATAGAAATTGATAAATACTGGCATACAACCAAAGATACCTAAAGAAACACACCTCAAAGCAATCCATTTCAGTAGTTTAAGAAGCATTACTGAAGATGATAAAAGAAAGTAAAGTAAAGACGTGCAAATAAATTGCAAAATCAATTGAGCGGTTAAATAGGTAAACACCATGTGAATCCCAGACAATTTAGCTGACTATACACTACAATATAAGCGTAGAGCAATAACCAACTTTTACAGTATTCGATCACATTCGTTAGCGAAAAGATACCCTCATTGAAATGGGAATGGATAAATCGTTTATTATTTTATAAATACTCGTCAGACATGTAAGCTAGGCTATCTACCGTATAAGTGGTTGTTATATACATAAATAACTTGATTTCGAAGAGAGAAATGTATGAGATATCTCCAGGGTTGTGCGCTTGAGACCCGTCGTCTAAAAACACCCCAATGAAAAGAACAAAAAGCCTCTCGTTTTATGACGACCACTGCAAAAATATTAAGGATTTAAGGGCATGTACCTTCTGGTCCTTCAACTGGGAAGGTGCCGCTGTCCAGCTGGTACTCGTGATGTGCTCGTAAGAAAGGCTGACTGAACTTGGTACCCCGAAATGCTAATGTGGCTGTGAATACGGCGTTGAGTAACACCAAAAGCTTCGTCAGAATCGGGAAGGACCTCTCCGAGGCGTTCAATATCAAACTAAGTTTTAGACAAAGCGACGCACTGTCGTGAGACTTTTTCAATATATACAATGGGTCTGGTGGTGAACGAGAGCAGGACGAAATATTTCCTGTCGCACCCGCGGCTTGGCTTCCACGCCACTATTGACAGTCATAACTTCGAAGTCGTAGATAATTTCGTTAATTTTGGAATTATATGTCAGATATGCTCTATAAGGCATATATGCTCTATGAGGCGGCGTTACAAGTTTTCGAGAGAAAAGTTCAGCGGAAGATTTATGGTCCTTTCCGCATTGGAAATGGCGCATAAAGCGGCTACGTCATATTGTTCGAATGGATGACAACACTACAGCTTGAGAATGAGAAGGGTATATGAAATTGCACAGGTAACTCTGAAGCAAGCCATTCGTATGCAAAATAGAGTCATGAACGATATGTGCATAAATGCATAAAAGCCAATAAACAAATACAATTCTAGAAATGATGATTGAAATAACAGAAATTCGAGCGCATTCTTGTCATATATGTAAGAAAAGTTAAAACGAAGCCGAAGGATACTGAAGCTGACGGAGTTGAGATAAAAGACAAGAGGAAGAAACAATACCATTTATCTGATGAGGGATAATTTGAAGGAAGGAAGTTTGCAACTTACAGACTTTCACAAACATACTTTCGCAAGCTGGCATGGCATTAAATTGACAACAAAGGCGGCAAACATAACACCCACGATGACATCAACTGTGCATTTGTGGAGCAGTGAGTGGAGTAAAGCGAGAGGTAATGAAAAAGGCTGGAATCAAAATAAGTTTAAATGAAATTAAATCATACTATAAAAACTTTAAGAAACTTTGAACTATAATAAGAGACAACAAAAATATGTCGAGGTTTAAGCAACTTGTAGGATTCTGCAGACACATAGAAGTAAAGACATGCATCAGACATCAGCGTGTCTGTATGTCAGCAAACAGCTACACTCAACTTTTGCAAAAATAATCATCTTGGCATATACAGTTTGACAGGAGGCAAAGGTTCACGACATGCGTCGCTTTTAAATGAAGCCATTACCACAAGACAAGCTTTTGCTGTATGCTCGTAAACTTTTTACCACCATGTGCTTTAGTAACATATTTGGTGGAATAAATGTTCGTATTATACGTAATGCAAGCTTGCATAAACGCTGCACAGTAAAGTTCAGAAGGAAAGATTTTGAAAATGAGATGAATATATTTTAATCTAGTGAAAAATTAAACTGTTTATTTGAAGGCGGTAATTTTTGAAAATTTAGTTTTTTGGAAACTAAAGTGTTCCAAGAAGAGAGATTTTCACGCGCTTTATGGATTGTTGTGGATTTTTATCCGTTCAGGAATTTTTTTTTCACCTAAGGAACTCAAACAGTTGCTAGTGAGACTAAAATTGATATTATTGTCATTTGCCAATAACATCTACGTGGTCATATGTCAATTTGTTTTAACTATAAAATAAAAAAAAATAATAATAATAATAATAAAAAATTTGCATCGAGAATGGAGTCGAATTACTTGACCTCTTTTTCAGAGTGAAGTCGAGAGCCCTCAAATAAGAAAAGGGATACATCAGAAATCTTATAACTCCTGGTAAATAAAATCACTTCAGTTTTATTTGGTTTGGCAGCTAGGCTTCTATCTGTCCAGTCATCTACCACATTGAGGTATCCTTGTGTTAACTCGTAAACGGTAACATTTATTCATAAGAGCAACATCATCTGCATAGGCTCTAATCCGACAGCCAGACTGTCGGATAAGATACAGAGTAAAGGAAACAAAATCCACCACGTGGGCTGTCTCCATTTCGCCATGACAGTTTTGCTGCACAGAGGAATATATAAGTATATGATATGCCTACCGTATAATCCTTTCCATAAGGATAGGCCTCCCTCCAGCCATAACTCAACAAAATGCAGAGCAGTGTTTACCGACCTACATACCTACAGCGATCTCAGCGCTGTAATATCTTGTCTCAGGGCATATTGCCCCTCATCTACAGGTCCGCCTTTAACAAAAACAATGAGAAGCCAATAGGTCTGAAGTATAAGCCTGGCTTAATCAAACCCAGTTTAATCGTCTGTGGTTCCAAGATCTACCAAAAGTCGATCCTATCGCATTTCAAAGTTTTCAAACCTCGATATACTAATCAATCACGTTAGCCATGATCACTGAGTTACAACTTCATGCGACCGAAAGGGCTGATCGAAGCTTCCTACAATACGTATAGGGGTTTTCCGGAAAGTAATAGGACTGAGTCGATTTAAAAAAATTTATTGGACCAATCGTTACAATTCTTCAAAGACTTTCAAAAAACTGCCAACGCGATTTCCAAACATTGAAGGCGTCACGGATGGCATTCTCCAAAATAGCATTGAGAGCCGAAGTGCATGGAAGATTGTCTTTTTGTCTTTCTCGATGTTTGTCAGGTCCCCAGCACGGTCCTCATCAGCGACATCTTCCCGGCCCTTCAAAAAGGGCTGGTATCACCGAAACACACCACCTTTTGCTAAAGCAACATCTGGGTAGGCCTACCTGAACCTATTAAGGTTATTCTCCATAATTTCGTTTAACTATTTGCATTGGCATTTATTGATTCAAAATTGTCCGTTTCATTTTTCCTAGAACACAATATAATATAACAATTTTACTAACGATATACAATAAATTTGAACTGGTTGTAAGAATTCTAAACATTCCATTATTACTAAGACCTTTGCTGAATCAGCACATTTAACATCTTAATTTTGTCACACTAATCATGAATAATTTTGAGTGTTAACAACTTCAACCATGTGTCGAGTGGTAAACCAAAACAAGTCGTCAAGCGGTAGTTTTTTCTTCTCTTCGTTGGCTTATATCTATCTATACGTTAATGAAATGGCTGGCAGTGCTGTGGTCAGGCAATAAACTCTTTTATATTTATATATTTAACTGTAAATTACTGAAAGCTTATCAGTTCTGACATATTTATTATGGGAATTGACAAAATGAATGGTTCCGCAGTATACCATATAATTAGAGAGTAAGTTTCCAGTAGTATTTTGATTATAAGTTAGTTTGATAGTAAAATTTTTGTCTTCTCTTTGAAACTTTTTTATTTCGTTTCAATTTTATTTCTAAAACCATCAAAATAAAAGAAGGTTTATAGGTTTGATTATCGTTGTTATTATTTGTTTTACTTTGCAGCCAACAGTAATCGTCAATGGAGTTAATGCTTTGCGGTTTCCGCTCTAATGCAACACTTTCACTTGTAAATTATTCAGTCGCTTACACACTTACCACAGGGCTAGATCAAAATTTGTATCAATAGGGTAAAAGCTGCGCCAATATATGACTTCCATTCTCCAATGTTTAGCCAAGTTATGTAGCCAGCTGAGACAAAATAGACTCTTATACACATAATTTGTTGGATCATGTTCTCAAATATTGTTGGTTTTAGCATCTTTTATCTACTTGTTTCTCTTCTAATAACCGCGTTAGCGGCTTACACTTAGGAGTGTATCAGACAGCAGACAAGTTGAGTAGTAGTGCGGTGACTACGGCTACGTACAGTCCAATCGAATGACAGACGACGTGATGAGCGGGAAAACGCATGAAATTGGACATAACAACTCATCAGTTCTATGCCAAAGGGCAGCACAAACAGTTTGGCGTTGAAAAGTGTGTGGCGATCGTGAAAGTGACGGGTGGTTAGACACCGTAAAAATTTCGTAACACACACAAACAAAAAATTGTGCTAAGTGTGTTTCTTTTATTTATGTTCACTGTCCATCCCAAGCAATTAAGAGTTCATTGATTTGAACGCTTTTAACTCATTACTGTGATTTTTTGCCACTTCAAATTTTGCTTGGGAACTAAAAAGGAGACTTGAGCACTGCTTCAGCGTTTCAAATGCAAAGAAATCGTTTTTTGGTGTTTCTTGTCTGTGGATTCGTAATACTAACTTTACCGAAATTTAATGGATCCACATTTATTGCTCATCATATTCATAAATGGAAGGCGTTGAAGACTTCAATGCGTTATGTGCAGGAGGCTATGCTGCGTACAAGTTTAAATCGTGCAACTCCAAACCACGGAATCGTTTTCGAATGTCGTACAACGTATGTGTTCCTATAATACTATTTCGTGAAACTACGTGTATAGCTATGTGGTATTAACTGTTATACATGTATAAAAACAAATTAGCATTTCTGCAAAATTAATTTTAATATTGGAAGAAAGCCTACGAAGAAGAAACAAAAATAACACAAAGCCATGTTAGGTTGCCACTGAGTAATACTTTCGCTAATTTTAAATATTTTGTGCATGAAACATTAAGGAAGTGAAAAACTGTAACTCTCGTGTTGTGAAGAGCAATTATGGTTACCAGCTCATCACGCGACAAGGAAATACAAAAAAGTCATTATATTGTTAAGTTTTATTTTACTTCTACTTTAATGGAAATCAGCATTTGGTTTTCGTTTATAAAGGCATTTCGACATCGTAAAATAAAATTCAGTGCTTTCTTATAGTGTTGCTAGTTAGCTGCGATAGTTTACGATATATGAAGAAGTACTAAGCCTATTACCGGGCTTTAAGGGCTTACCATTTTTTTTTTGTGAAACGTTTAACCCAGAATATTGCTATTCTTTACAACCACTATGCTATTTGGTAACCTTGGTTTATTTAAAAATGTTTGCCTTGTGCTGGTTTTAAATCGTTATATCAATAGAATACCCGATGAACAGACAGACGTCACGTATCAATTCGTATTATTAGTATTGATTATTTGAATTGAAAGTATAACCTTAAACTTAGCTCGAATAATAACAAGGTGATAATTTTTAGGTTCGTAGCAATTCTGTAATACAAAACATAAGAGAAATTAGATACGGATTATTAGATATGGGTTTCTGCCTGACCAATAACGCATTTGCAAATCCGGATCATTTTCAAGTTGTTGCTCAGCTGGTCTGGTGGTCAAGCGGCTTCAGTTCTTGCGCTACACTTTTTTGTCTCACTGGCTCGGGAACATTTTTCGATAGTAAATTTTTGGAATTTCGACTCTTTGTTCATGATGAAGATGGAAACCTTATTTGAGAGAAATGTCGAAAGAGCGGGGAAAAATATGAAATCGTTTGTTGTCCATATTGGTCTACTTTTGTAGCGTCCCTACTAAAAAAGAAAGTTGGCATAATTCATGAGCCAAAGTCTAATATTCTAGAAATTGGGCTGTATTATTTATAATTTTTTACGTTCACTTAAGTTCACCAAAACATGTTACACATTCAGCGATTTATTCGGGGAAAAGTCAACCGGAAGTTTGAAATACTAATTGTATATGGGTATACCTACAGAAGGCTCGGGGTAATATTAAAAATGTTTACCATTTTTAGTGTCACAACTTATTATTACCGGAAAAATATGGTACGTGAATATTATTAAGATACCTCACAGAATGACCGATATGCGATACTATGCGGTAAAAAATCGTCCAGCGAATATTTGAATGGAAGTATTACCCGTTCTTTTATTTCAGCCAAAGCTTGTTATGAGAGCATAAAACGATTTGACATTCATTGTGAAACATACTCTAGAGCAGTATACGTATACTGTAGGGTGGATAAAAAATGAATGTTTTATTCATTTAGCACTCTGAAAAATGGGTTGGTAGCCACCGCTAAGAAAGTCTCTCCCAGTATTTTTTCTTACTATCAGAAAAATCATATATCAATTTTGACTACTTGGAAAAATATTTCGCTTTATGGGTTTTGAAGGAAATTGAATTTCTACTAAATGGTTTCCTACGATTCAAGTTAACTCTAACCATTCAAACGGTTGAAACTTATTTTAAGTCAGCATTTTTTATTTCTTATAAATTTTATAGCTCTAAGAAAAAAATATTTTGGGATACTAAAACTTCTAGTTTTATAAGAAATTTACTGTTTTACAAACATGGTCTATGTAATTTATATCCGCAAAGCTAAAGAATCATTGAAAATGTTTAACTCTCACTATAGTACTTTTTAAGTGTTGTTATTTAAATCTCCCCAGTGGCTCTGTTGACAATTAAATGTTACTGTGATCATTTGTTTGCAATAAAGATCGAATTACTGGCTCAAGATTGATCAATGCCTTATACATGTACTTCACTAATATTCACAATGGTGCAAGGCATGGCGTTCATGCAATTGAAGTTAGTTATTGTTATGCAAAACAGTCATAATTAGTTGTTGTTTTTTTAAACAAAAGTTTTCACGATCTCAGCGAGAATAACCCACTGCAGTAGGTTCAAAATAACACTGACTTGCAAAATAAGTGAAAACGCTTTTTCATATAGTGAATTTTTGAGTAGGTATATGTAGACATGTTCTGATGTGCAGGGCTTAAATTATTATTCAGCAACTAAGGTAGTTACAGGTTCTGACGCTGCCGAATATTTTATTCTATTATTTCGCATTATTCAATATTAGTGCAGCTAAGGGTAATACACCGATAAAGATACGACTGTTATTTGATTTCAAATAGACCTAAGGGACGGCAACTCCTTTTGCTGCACATACTTTCGCAAATTACTTACAATTGGTTGCTTCGCTTGGTGCAGCGCTTGGATAATATTCATCAAGTCCCTTTCTATCGAAAAATACTATTTCAGCATCAAAGCAAGAAAGACTGCAGTAAGACTATCGTATATAAGATTATCTCTCAGAAAATTATCGCATTTGAGTAGCTATTTTCAAACACTTGAAGGATGGTTGAGGCAGTTAAAGTCTTATTAGAGTCGTCTTTATTTTCTTTTATCATTAATGTTGAATTCTAATGTGTTTCAGCTTAAGTTTTAAATGACACAAACGTCGCCATTACTGGTTACAAGGTTTTGAAATCTTCTCTGAGATTCAAGAACCTCGCCAATCAATTTGCATTGATATTTCTTAATTTAAGCACCCAATAGAGATTTCGCTTCGTATTTCCGATCATTTTGTTGTTTACCTCTATTATTTAATTATAAAGTAGTTTAGGTGAACACAGCTGTAATGTTTTTCCAACATGTTGCGAGTGTAAAAAAGAGACATACTATTTATGTATAATTAAAATTCCAGCTTTTATAATTAACTAGTTAAATTTTATATAAAGCTAAACTGTTTTAGGCTGATTAGACATTCGACACGTTTTTGTAATATTTATTTTGTTTAAAAAAATTGAATTAATTAGTGGTTATTTACATTAGAGAGGTTCTTATAATGACTTTCTTTTAATGGAGTAGGCTTTTAAATATACCAATAAGGTATAAAATCTATGAAAATGTTTTTTATTTCCATGTTTCATGTCATCTAACAATGGTATTTTTTCTTCCAACAATACTATACTGGATTATTGGTTTTCCGGAAGTTTTCCACGAAGGATCTATTAAGGGGTTTCAGTCCCCTCTGCAGTGTATATTAAAAGCTACTCTTTAAGTTCTTCCCTGTTGAATTTAGCATGACTGCAATGTTACAAAATGAACCTGAAAAAGGAAAAAGTTAACTTCAGCTTTACGGAAGCTAAAATAGCAGCCAAAGGTGCATTTTTTATAGCTTATAGGAGTATAAAATGATTCTTATCTTGAACTTGATCAGTCAGTTTATATGACAGCTATATGTTATTGTGATCCAATCTTAATAAATTCTTCGGAGATTACATCATTGTCTGAGGCAAAATCCATGCCAAATTTCTTGAAGTTTTTTATCGAGTCAAATGAAAGCTTTGCACTTGATTTCAATCATTCAGTTTACATGACAGCTATACGCTATGGTAGTACGATATCGGCGCTTTCGACAAATGTGCAGTGTTAGAAAATTTCTGGTCAATATCTCAAAAACGGAGGGACAGTTTGCATATATACATATGGACTAAAAACGGACATGTCTGAGTCGACGCAACTCGTCACACTGTTCAACTATATATACATTTTGTAGTATCTATGACGTTTGGGTGTTACAGGTTTCGTGACAAACTTAATATAACTTGTTGAGGGTATAAAAATCGATATGAAAATTATTTAAGCCGCTTTGGCATACCTCTCCTAACGTCATACGATATTGCGCTTCAATTTTCAGTAAAAGTTCATTTGATCGGCAGATGATGCTAATATTATATGAACATTTACTACGTGCAATGAAAATAATTACTATGAGTTATTAATGCATAATTCTTATAACAAATGGTCAACAATGAATTGTTAGAATAAATTATATACATGTATGAATAATACGGAGAAATTTTTAATATTATGCGATTACTGATCATTAGGCTAATTAGTTGTAAAGCTTTTCTTTACTATCCAATACACAGTACTTACATGAGTTTGGGTTTGAGAGAATTTATTACACAGAACATAAGCGCTAACCGGTTCTTCAACTGCAACTGTATAAAAAGATTCTTACAATTTCTTCTAACTCAGTACGACTTGAAACTTACTACAACGCTTACTTATTTCGTATAGAAATATTATCTTCAAAAATGAAGAAAATTACAGTAGTTGTCGGCGTTGCTTTGCTGTTAATGCAAGTAAGATTGTCATACAAATCTAATAATATAACATATACCATAGGTTTGTTTTATTAGGTCGTCAATGCGTTTCCACATGCTAAACGTGAAGCTGTAGAGGTTGCGGTCAATGAAGAAAACAGTATAGATTCCTCGCCTAAGGATTCTGTAGAGGTTGCGGTCACTGGAGAAAACAGTATAGATTCCTCGTCCGAGGAAGATCAAGCATCATCAGAAATTTTGGTGTATGTCATAGGAACGGTAGGTAAACTATCCAAGTGGGCGCTTGAAAGTGGAAGCCTTCTGCTTAAAAATACTGTAAAGGATCTGGAGAAGTTACCAAACAAAGATGAATTGCTACAAGCTAATATCACACACATGGCAAAAGTAGCCAAAGAAGCCGAGGATTTTAAATTGGAAGAAGATGGAGCGAACATTGTGGAACTATTTGACACTATGAATAGTTTGTCGGAAGTGATATCTGACTACGAAGCCATGCCCGACAATTCAGATTTAAAACTCACATTGAAAACGGCTCTTGAAAATAATGGCTACAAAAAGTTTCAGAACAAATTTGAAGAGGAAATTGTGGATTTGGTTGAAGAGTTTGATATTGTATTTGGTGAATATGTCAAAGGTTTGAGTCCAGACGAGAAGTTAAAGCAAGCCAACGTACTTAATTGGTATGAAGAATTTACTAACGAAACTGACGAAGATAAAAAACTTGACAAGTTCGGTGAAATCTTTGACTTGTTTTAGTCAATGAATTGAACAAATGATTTATATCTGCTGTAGGATACTTTTGCATGTAATAATTATAAGCAGTTATTATCCTATAACGTTTTTAATAAAAATATCAAAATTAAAAACATATGTAATTTTTTAAGTTCTGCTTAAAAATATAATATAAATAAAAATTAAAGGTTTTCAGATGTAGTTGGCTTACTCTATATGGTATTATAATTCCTTATAATATGAAAAATATTATGCACAGCCAGTAGCAGGCGTCAACCGGTTTAATAGCCGTAGTACTATATTGTATTTATTAAAAAAAATTATGGAAAAACTTGCTCCAAACAATATTTATAGCCTGCTTATGTGCTATATGAGTTACATATGCGAAAACCAGCATTTGTTTTTTGAATCTTTTAAGTTGCCTGATAATGTTTTTTTTGCTGGACACTTTTCAAATAAATTTGTAGAATCAACTTTGATAGTTCTGAATTGCTAGTTTTTCAACTGCTAGAGTTTGTTAGAAATAATATAAGCATTTTATAATTGCTTGTTTTTAAACTCTCGCAAGCTGTTCTCTGTTCCGGTCCTCTAGATAGGGTATTTAGTAGTCTAAGGAAGCAGTATGCTTCATACTATAAAGCTCTAATATGATACAGGAATATCATAATAGGATGCAAGATCTGTGGTTTTAAACTTTTTTATATATGGGCATTGGCTAAATGGGATAGTAAGTAACTCCACCCATTACAAAAGTTTTATCGAAAGGTACTAAAAGCAAAGTAAGTTTCTAAATAAAATTCTAGGCCAGTCCAGTCCGTATCGAAAATGGACGTGTTATCTTCCCCTTTTAGAATCCTAATCTCAAAAGTCAAACAACTTCTCCACAAATCCGATGCAAGTTTAGTGCATATGTTCACCTATTTTCCAAATAACACAGCATTAAATTTTGTTAGATTTTTTAAATTTACAAAATATGACAGCTGATCAAGTTGATGTACTTTTTTCAATTGGGGTTTTTCGACATACCACGTGTGAATCGTATCAATCTCTCATGTTATTTTTGTTCAGTATTGTTTGGCTTTTTCAACACGAAAATACTTTTGTTTTACTTTATTACGAAACCTCACGTTCAGAGCGATCCAGTATGAATTATTGGATAATATTCGACCGATTAGACCACGTCTAGCACGCAGTGAAGAAAATTTAACAGCCGAGAGTGAATACGAAGACCGTGCAGAGTCGCCCTTTCCAATCAACAGCGCTTCGAGTGTCATTCGCCAGTTAACACCCGCAATGATCACACGAGTAATCGAAATTTGGACTCAACGGATGGACCGTTTGACATTTGAAAGAGATAATCTTCAAAAAATAAGTGCGAAAAAATATTCTTTCTAATGATAATAAACATTCCCCATTAAATTCAAAGTTTCTATGTTTTTTCCTCAAAATGGGTCACCCTTTGAAACAAGCACAAATAAAGATATCGAAAAGACCCTATAAAGTTTTGTAAAAATGGAGCATGCAAGGTTTGGTACATCTTTTCGAATAATGTTCGAAATCGGACTACAATTTTTAAAGCTTGAATTTGAGTTGCTCAACCAGAGGCAGATGCTGTATCAGATATTGCAGATGTGATAAAAATATGCACTATTCATCCGTTCAATACGTTCTTATATATCTATTATAGTGGGTTTAGAACTTCCAGCTCACTTCACTTGGTTATCCCCAGATTCTGCAGTTTTAATTTTGATGACTTCTGAAAAAGGTCGAGGTTATAATCAGGTTTCCTGGATGTTTCGTCTATTAAAGAATGCAAATACAACCATACTCTTAAAACTTTAATATCAACCATTTAAAATTTAATGCGTCCAAGCTCTATTTACCATAATCGATTATATAGTATATTCACAAAAACAAAAAAAAAAAAAAATTGTTTGATAAAAATATGATTCTTCTTCCAGTTCCAATTTGCGTTTAGGAGATGAAGTACACTTCGAGTTGCAACTGGGAGATATGCGCGGTTTTCACCGCTTGGACCCACGTCGCAAGTTGGCATTATTTCTACACGGTTGGAACGACGAAGGCAGCAAGGGCTGGGTGCAAGACATGTTAAAAAGTGAGTAACATTTATTTAACCATTATTTTTAGCTAACAATAATTTTATTTCCTTACTTCTAACAGCTTGGACACACTTCGATCCGTATTATAGCGTTTGTGTTGTTGATTGGGGTCATCTCTCGCAGGTAGATTACAAGACTGCCTCTATGTCGATATTTGATGTTGGTCTCACAGTGGCTGGCATCATTATGTCTATGGAGAATTTACGACCCGAATACTTCTCCCGTCGCAATGTCACATTGGCTGGCTACAGTTTGGGCGCACATGCCGCTGGCTATGCGGGTGCAATGCTTAACGGAGAGCTGGAGCAAATCATAGGTCTTGATCCGGCCGGACCGCTCTTTACATTGCCAGCCGTTGTATCGCCAGATTTTCGTCTGGATCCCACAGACGCGCAATACGTACAAGTGCTGCACACATCGGCGGGCACTTTGGGAGCTGGCTTAAAAATGGGACATGCCGATTTTTATCCCAATGGCGGAAAGGCGCCCCAACGCCATTGCAAAGTACTGGTTGCGGACATGCAGAATAGTAAGTATGTTTGTGCTGTCCTATATATATATATGTACATATGTATGTGTGCTCGCAACCAAATCGGGCGCATATCAATAGTAATTTAAATGCAGCATGCAGCGCCGGCGAATGTGTTGACAATCTACTTAAAAATTCATTTGTTTCCCCCATCCCCCCATCTCGTTCGCACAGATGCGGTAGCGTGCAGCCACAGCTCGTCGGCTGTGTTTTTCAAGCAATCCATGAATCCGGCGTTTCCGTTCGTGGGCAACCATTGCAGCAGCTATGATAATTTTGTGCACGGTCTCTGTACGCAGGGTCACCGCGGACGTTTTGGCATACATTCACAACGCCGCAGTCATGGCAATTTCTACTTCGTCACCGAACCGCAGCCGCCATACGTGCAACGAAGACTGTGGCCACGACGTCGTCATCAACATTATCAACAGCAACAGCAACAGTGGTGGCGCCGACATAAGGTGCGCGCTTCATCGGCTTTGGGACGTAGCGCTTTAAGGCAGACGCTATCCACCGCAGCGGATGTGAAGGCAATGCAAACGTGGCAGCGCAAATGGCGGCGGTGGCGGCGTGTGTATTACTGATGACATTGTTGCTTGCACGTTGGCGTTGTGGCAATTGAAGGATAACTGATGGTATTTTCATTGAAATAAATGCATTGTTGCCGAAGGAATAGCATAGTTAAACGTTGTATTGGTTGTTGTATGTAATTGTCTGTTGTCCGCTTGGAATGCGAATGTGCGCATGTATGCTTAACTGAATAATCAGCATATGTAGGTATGTAAATGCACTTGCTGCTGCCGTATTGGACTGTGGAATTTAATTCCAAATTCACTTTGAGCTGCGTAGTATTCACACGACTGCGTATCTCTGATGCGTCGGCCAAGGTAAGAGGTGGCGGCGGTTACAGGAGTTCTGAGTTGTGGTTGCAAAATGCCATAAACTGAGCAATGCGGTGTTGCGCGGCGCCGCATGTGGCATTTGGCGTTGTTGTGTGGTTTCGGCAGCATTTGCGTAATTATGTGCAACCGCCGCTGCCTACCGTTGTTAATACAAACACAGCTGTTTTCGTGTGTGCGTGGCTACGATTGCGGTAGTGTTAACTACACGTCAGCGTCGACCTTTAGCAATCACAGAGCTGCTAAATATTTAAGCCTGACTTGCCCGGTTAATATACATGCACATAAGCGCAGCAACTTATGTGTAAATATGTGTAAATACATGTGTTTCGCTTCGTTTTTTCGGTCATTGCTGGAAATGCTGTTATGCTTGGCATTCGAATGCAATTCGTTAGCGTTCAAGTGGGTATGCAACTGTTCGTTTATTGGTTCTACAGTGAGAAATTGGGGCAGAGTGCCATTGGAATTTGACTGCAGCACAGCACACCATACCGCTTGAAACACCTGTAACAATAGGCATTGCTTCACTTGTTTGTGTAATGCAAGTGCATGGCTTCCTGCTCGTCTGGCGTCTGCTTATGGCTTTGTTATTGATGCTGAATCGGCCTTTGGTATGCATTCATATGAAAGTATTCGGTAGGCTTCTTCGTAGTTCTGTAATTGAACACTGGATTTGGACCAAATGTTTATACCTAAAATGCTTTTGGTAGTAGCAATTCTGACTTCTTGGCATTCTGTATTAATTCAAAAATGTTACGTGAAAAGCAAAGTGAAAATTAGATAATAACAGATAACACAAAATATTAGGAACGTTTTATTTTATTAATTAGGCTTGAAATTGCTTCTACTAAATTAAATAGAATCGAATTGAATTAATTTAATTGCCGTGGATGTAAATATCTGCAGCACCAGATATTAATTATATAAAATTCAGCTTTTTTCGAATTTTTTTTGTAATGATTGGGGTGTTCATTGTAAAGTAATAAAAGTTGATAGCATTTTAAAGTATATGATATGGTGTAGGATCAATTTGCTCTTTTGATTTTACTTATATTAGCCGATATTTGAAGAAGAGTTTGTGTATCTTAAGAAAAAAATTTTCTTTTTAACGTTTACCCAAATGTTATAAAGCTAAAGGAATATCATTACATTTGAGGTTGACATATTAAGCAGTGGTTTTATACAAGATACGAAGTTTTGATATTTTGATCTTCACATTATGCACAATTTAAATTCTCAGTTTCTATATCGGTCTGAATAACGAAATATTTAGTGCAGAGTGATAGAATAATTCGTGAATCGATTTCACATATTTTCAGTATTACAATTTTTTGCGCGATATATATGGTATAAAGTCAATTGCCCATAACCGTACCAAAAGGTTATTTTTTCGGGATGCATGTAGTAGCTTGCTGACTGACAAATAACGCATATTTTGTTTATTGACGAAGCTATTCAGCCAGAAATGCGCCTCGTCGCTAAAGAAGATTTTTCGATGAAAATCCGGATCATTTTGAAGTTGTTGCCCAATTCGCAAACATATGACGATTCTGGTGATCAAGCGGCTTCAATTGCTTCAATTTGATCTTTTAAAAAAGTAGGCCAAGTTTTTTCGCAAAATTCACTACATCGACGTCACAGAGGTACCCAATGTTTTGGAACGAACACTTCTTCGTCTCACTGTACTGTCTGTGGGTTCAAATTTTTTCATTAGACGCTCTATTATTGATCTGATAGGACGAGTATGACGACCAAAAATTATACGTAGCGTTCTTAAAGTTGAGGATACTGACTTTGAATTTCGTTCGTAAATTTTAATAATTTTGACTCGTTATTTCCATGATGAAATGGCAAACCTTAGTGAAACCATTTTGCGAACACATAACATTTTTTTATGTTATTTATGTCTTAGTAATGACCAGATATTAGCCATTTTGCTTACATGGCTACAATGTTATAAGTAATTTTCCCTCCCAATGTTATCAAAAAACCGCTCTGAATTTCATTAATACCTTACAGATTTCCCGATTTTTTCGGTAAAATTGCAGCCATATGTAGATAAGCATTTGAATAGTTTTGATCCAATTCTAAACTACATATATTAGACGTAAGAATATGAACGATCTATTGACGTCGATATCTTCTTTATTGTATATGTATCGTGGGATATTTGTGTTATAGGACATATTTGTGGGAGGTGAGATTATCAGCTGACAAAAATACTTTTCTCAAATTTTCCTAACTATAATATCCTCAGGTGCAACATGTTGCGAGAGTTTAAAAAAATGTATTTTGAACTAATTACAACTAAATATTTCCGTTTACTGTGCGAAGAATACATTTCTAGCTTGCTTTCGCCCACACGTAGCCTATATCTAAACTCCATATACTCGCATTCACACAACTATTTATCATTAAACAAATTTCAAAGCTTCCAACATAGACTTTGCTAACTGCAAATCTGAAGTAAAAGTTTAATCAACCCTATACTCGCTCGCTTAGTTCATTATCCACTCAACAGGATGAAGTGAGCTTGTAAAAACTTTTAATTGTACTGATATCTTCACGTCTAGACGTGCTTTTCATTATTTATGGACTAAGTGTAAAACACCAAACGGATACTTGCAAGCGTTTTGTTATTTATGAACATGCTTGCATGCGTGTGTGTTGCTTGTGCGCATGTGTGCGTGTATAATGCAAATAGCCGCTGTGGCAACATTTCTGTTGCAACATATCAAAACAGCAATCAACAGCAAAGGCCTTGCACCGAGTCGTAGCAAAAGCCATAATTAAATCTTACTAATTTCAATTTTACCCCCCACGGGACCGGAAGAACTCTTGACGTTTACGTTGTTCAAAAAACAATAACATCACCAACAAAAATGCAACAAAAAGAAGGAATAACATAAGCAATGAACAGCTTGGAAAACATAAATAAAAATGTGGAGAAAGCGGAAGCTTTTAACACTGCCAATACGACGAAAGAGGCGACTGGATTCGCTGTGTGGTGGAAGAAGAGGCAACAACACCTAGAAAAACTTACACAACATAACTCATGCAGGCCGCAGACAAAGTAATAAATTTTATAAAATGTAACAACAACAAATCGCTACAGAATAAAGGCACGCTGCGAAAAGAACAATAAGTCGTAATATATCTCATGCAAAGTGGTGAACACGTTGGCCGATGTCCTGCGCGGCCAGCTGGGCTAGTGAATTTGTTATTGAATTCTTGCGAATAGAATTGGAGCAACGAAGCAATGAAATTATGTCTTGTAGTGGGCAAATTGAATTTAAGGTATTTCTCCAAGTGCACGTGTAAATATGTGCAAGAGCACATAGTGGGAATAAGCAAATAACTGCCCAGGCAACTGAGCAATCAAGCATTGCTGGGAAATTTGTATGGAGGAGTAGCGTATACGTAACATAACACATGGCAAGAAAGATATTTATATGTGCATAAGTATAGTATATGGCTTGTGTACATATACGCATGTTTTTTAAGAGGACGCGGGCGTAGGTATGGTCAGTAGATGTGCGGCTTTGCAAATTATACTATATATATGTATATACAAATTCAGCGTCCCAGAAGCACACTTATTAAAGCGTTTCTGTTGCGGTTATGGTTTGTAGTATTGCTCGTTCAGGTAGCTTGATGGGCACGACAGGTGTTGTTGTTTCGTAAGTCAACGAATTTTCCTTGCTCATGTTTTATGTTTTACCTGCAGACAGCGGTTAGCATGTTGAAAGCTTAGTTGGGACTTTCAAGCAGTTCAGTTAGAAGTGCCTAAAAGTCAATAAGTAAAGGCAATAAAAAATATCGACAGTGTCTATATATGAAATCCGATATATTCAAAATTGACTGAAGTTTTCTTTTTTAACTTTAAGTATATAAGAATATTATAACTCAAAATAGTTTTTCACCTTTATAGATGGTACCGTTATTATTATTTTTTTATTAGTATTGCAAATGGATAAATCGCATTGTTGTCACACCTTTTCGTGCAATATTTTTTATGGAAAAAATATATAAAAATATCTGTTGGTCGTCTGATCTGAACAATTTACAACAATATTACAGCGCTGCCTTGGGCAATAATAGATTCAATAATAGAATAGAATATATCTTTTCAAATAAAAAGTCTTCAATACAGGGATTAGAGTTTCATTGAAAAGTTGTTATTACAGCTACATATTACATATTCTTTAGTATCCTATTATTGGTGGTTCCGAAATATTCAATTAAAATTCTTGGGTAGAGGCCCTTCGGATTACTTGCCCTTAGCAAAGTACATATCGCGGCAACTGTATGTATTTTGAGTGGATTCTATCCAATAAGTAAACGCAGGGTGCGACTAAATATTCTGACGGACACTCTTTGTCAATGCTTTATGGAAGAACAGGTCAATCAGTGGAATTATCTCTCTTCACTTTGTCGGCTTTTGCCCGACTGAGATTGAAATATCTTGGCAGATAATTTATTGATAACCTAGCGAAGCAGTTGTGATTGGTGATGACCACCTTAGTAAATTTATACTGAATACAAAACGCTTCGTTGATCTATGAGGTGATGCACTTCAGCTAGTTTTTTGAGTAACACAAAGGGCATACATATATCTTTCTAAGTGAAATTCATCGAATTTGGGATCAACCCTTCGACCTAACCTAACCTAACATAGTATTTATCTATAATGAATATTGTTTACGTTCTTCGTTCGTG